GCAACCTGACACAAACACAAGCTCACTATGATTACGAAATGGTGAAATGCAATGTAAAATTAACCGAAAAACCAACTACAAACTACTACCGCGGATTGGGCAGAGAACGAGTCCGAGAAAGTTAACTCCCCCATGTGACGTAATATGACGCGTTTGACGTTAAAAAAAAGAAGTTTTTAGTAGCAGAGCTCAAAACGGCTCCTTTTCCTCTGAATTCCTGCCCTTATGTCTTGTAAAACATATCAAATCCTGCATTAACATTTTTAATTGTAATTTTCAGCATAAATGTAGTAAAAAAAAAAAACCCTGCAAGTGCTCTATTTCCTCTTTTTATAGTTGGTAACTTGCTGACTGTAGAAAAACTGAGTTCGTTCAGTGTCATGTTGCTACTGACATTGCCGTGTTTAGTGTGAACCCAGTGGATGTTGGCTGCTTTAAGATATGATTTAATTATTGCACAAACTATTACGTCACTGGCTTGGGAAATGGTTTTACAAAAAGGTCTTAACTTGTCCTCAATTGATTTATATTTTTACAAAGCATATTAAAGTTGTGTTGAAACGGTCCCAATTCAGTCCAAACAATATTTAGTTTGAACTCTGGTGTGTTAAATGCTTTGCAGGTGTTCACATGTGATAATCCAGGGGCTTTCCAAAGCATCTACAGTCCCAACAGCCAGGACAAAATGAACACACTGGAGACCATGGCAGACCAGCTCGTCTCGCTGTGTGCCACGCTGGACGAATACCCAGGAGTCCGATACAAGAAGTAAGCCAGAGAAGATTCGGTTTCTCAGCCTTGATAACACACCTCAGCCCCCGAGCCCGCTGAGACCTTTTACGAGAAAAGCTGGAATCGAGTCATAGAATACGTTACGGAACTAAATAACACGGCAAACGTCACCTTAATTTGCCCTATTTTAGCACAAATTACAAACTAATTGTAAATCCAAACAGAAGCACTTTGTGTTTTTGAAACCACTTTCTGAAACAACTTTAAACCAAACATATATGTAAATGCGATAGTCAGACCAAAGAAAACAAACAAGAAAAAAAAAGGGTGACCGTGCATACGTTGCTTTTAACTAGTATTCTCATTATTCATATTCGTATCAGTGCAACATTGGTGTGTACTAACCTATCTGTGATAACTCATGTCAATAAATGTATCATTTAACCAGAGACGCCAACATGGAAAACGCCAAGACCCTAGCAGAGCTGGTGGACGACAAACTGGCCAAACACTACGAGCTGGATGACAGCGGCAAGAAAAAGGTGATACCCCTTCTGATAAAAGAGTGAAACACAATCCTATTCTAGGGAGTGAATGTGAACCTGAAAATAAGGTATTATTTTTCACTGATTGCTTGGAAATAAAATCCCTCCTTTGCCTTGAGCAGATTTGAAATTGGTTGCTCTTCATAATACGGTACATTTGAGGAGGGAAAAAGCAGCAAACAGTGGGGCAAAAAAGTATTTAGTCAGCCACCAATTGTGCATGTTCTCCCACTTAAAAAGATGAGAGAGGCCTGTAATTTTCATAAGGATGAAAATTACAGGCCTCTCTCATCTTTTTAAGTGGGAGAACATGCACAATTGGTGGCTGACTAAATACTTTTTTGCCCCACTGTTTGCTGCTTTTTCCCNTTTAGAGATGTGGGTATGGAGGAAAAGAGAGAGGGTTTTATTTTCTGACACTTTGTGAGTTCCATGACACACCAGTGACACATATTTATGTATAAAAGACATCAAAAGTGCATTTTGCATAATAGGTGACCTTCAAAGGTAAAGTATAACATTTAAAGAGCAAATGATTGAAAAATAAATACAAAGTTTGTCAGATAAAATGTCAGTAATGTCTTACTGTGGCAGCTAACAGTGCAGTGTTTCCCTGTGAATCTGCCACATCAGGGTGGACCAAACCGGTCTGGAGGACCTGTGACACGGCCTGCAGGTCCCCTCGGGAGGAGTGCTGGATCAACAGCTCTGAACTGACTTCCAAAGGCCCTTTAGGACCAGAACTGTCTCTGTTCAGGGAGAGAACAGCTGCCACGTCCCAGCCCACATTTTCAGCCTGTAGCCTGAGAGACCCGCACACAAATACATAAGAATGAAAATATTGTTTTAGTATTCTTACAGTTCAAAACTGACATTTTCAATTATTATTTGAGAGATAAATGGTATATTTATAAGAAAAAACAACAACATTTTAGAGAGAAGACTTAAAATTGATGTGGTATTATCACATGTTTAAAGAAAAACTATTCAGAAACGTTTTCTTTTTTGTCTAGGAACCACATGGCTTTACATTGCAGGATTTGATCAACCTAATGTTTTTTTATATATATATATATAATACCCCTCTGTCCCTGCTGCGTATTTATCATTGTAACCTTCAATGGCCCTAATACGCGGCCATACATACATATGCATGATTATATACAGTATGTGTTTTTCTTTAACTCAATACTAATGCCAGGATTATGTGCTTTGATTCCAATTATCAGACAGACCTTTGATTGATGTCTGACCTGTGTTTGTGTATGTGAGCCTGCATGCGGGCCTGTAATGGCAGACTGGAGAGAGGGTCTCGCTCATAGCCGTGGTGCGGATAAGAGTCTGGCTCCCACAGCTCGCCATAGAAGTGCTGATCCAGCTCTCTTCTTCGGCCAGGGGGCAGCGGCAAGTGATCACCATCTGTTGAGTAACTCTCCATGCCGGGGGGGAGGATAAAATTCTCGTCTGACAGCAGATCCCTTTCTCTATCCACCTAAGCAGAATGGGGAATTATTTGATATGTTAAGTGAGAGATCACAAAGCTAATAATGTTCTTTTTTTATTGGAGTACCTCACCTTAGAGTCCATTGTGGCTTCTTTCTGTGGACTACGTGGACGCTGGTAAAAAGGGGAGACCAATTTTGCAAATGTACCGGTATTTAAATTTTGTGACATAATTTACTAAATTTTATTTTTGTCAACACCACCATTTCAAACAAGTGACAATATCAATGATTCAGTTGGTTACAGAGACATGTTATGCAGCCTGGTAAGTAAATATGTTTTATATTTTGATATGATCATTTTAAAGCAGATTAAGTAAAAAAATAAGTTTTAGCCTGGCATACCTACAGTTTATTCACCTGTGAGTGAGACAGTGGTCAGCATTTACCTGAGTCATAGAATCTGTGATGGCAGGTGAGTCCATGTAGGCAGCATATTCCGGAAACTTCTCCAGGCTGAAGCCCTCTTTCACTGAGGTACAGAGCCTTAGCAGGCGTTCCCCAAGCCACAGACCCACATCTTTACGCCCATCTGGATAGGTAACCACACCTGGACCGAGCCTCTGGTCAGCGTGGTACAAACCCTGAGAGGAGGGGAGAGGCTCATTGCTTTATACTGTTATTAAAAGACAAATAAAAACATTTAAATGCCTGTTATCCATCCTTTCATACATTTTACCTGAAAGCTGGCTCCGTCAGGGAACTGTTGCTGTCCGTATCCTTCCTTTCTATTAAGGTAGAACTTGCCAGTGAACCTGTGGCCTGTAGGCCAACAGTACACTCCATCTCCATGCCTGTAGTCTTTGTAGAAAGAGCCCTCATAGAACTACACGAAGGAGCAGACCGGGTTAACATCTATTTAACTTGAGGAAAAAATGACAGTAAAAACTTCATTTTGTTTTAGCCCACATAAGATTTCTGACCTACAATACAGAACGACACTACTCTTATGGAAAAATGTTGCCTATTTGTGAAACAATGGCTAATTCCTCAAATGAACTGAGCTTAACCCAAGTTAATTTAAACTAGAAACTAGTGGTGTAAAGTAACTAAGTACATTTACTTAAGTACAATTGTGAGGTACTTGTACTTTACTTGAGTATTTAAATGTTTTTCTACTTCTAGCCCCACTACAATTCATAGGTAAATAGTCTACTTTTACTCCAATGCATTTATTTAATACCTTTAGTTACTTTGCAAATTTGGATTAATAATGTGAAATATAAACAACACTTAAAAACCTGTTAAGCCTGTTATTTACTTTAAAATACAAACAATTCTATATTGACTCTGACTTTTCTACAGCCAACTCACAGGTTTATAATTGCTTTGAGAAAAAAGATTATTAATTTACCCTTCTAGAAGTGAAGTTATGGTAATTTGTTCTGGGAATGTCAATTTCGAGCCTGAGGCCTGAAAAAAGAGGCTTGGGGCTTAACAGGTTAAATAAGACTTAATACAGCTGGAGTAAATTCACAAGCTACTCTGCAGTATACAAAGTAATTCAAACTAGCTGCACCTTTTCCAGCTTTGATAACACTTTAATGCATCAATTATTATAACCAAAACATATTATATATATAAAAAAAGGCCAATCTGCAGTGAGAACTTTCAAAGTGAGGTAAGCCTACTTTATGTTGATGCCAGCTTATACTTTTGGGCTTTTACTTGAGTAACATTTTGAATGCAGGACTTTAACTTGTAACAGAGTATTCATACACGTCTAGTACTTTGACTTTGACTTAAGTACAAAATATGAATACTTCTCCCACCACTGCTAAAAAGGGCTCATATTTGACTGATTCGTTAACAGATTAATTTGACGTTAAACCTACCTCTCCATTTCTCCAGGTGTACTTCCCGTTGCCGTGTTTGAACCCGTTCACAAACTCTCCCTCAAATCTGGATCCGTCGGGCCATTCCTGAACAGCGAGGCCTTGTCGTCTCTCTTCCCCGCTTTGAGCTCCTCTGAGGCCGTCACTTTGTTTGCTTTCCCCCGGCTCCACGACTCCTCGCCCCGGGACTGCAGCAACACCTTTGCAGGTCGGCAGCATTCTAACCGGAACGTATCCTCTCTGAACATAACTCACCCGAATCCATTGGTGCCAAACAACGAGTTAGGAGTAAACGTTAGGAGAAAACTTTAGCTGTCAGAAGTCAGATTTTAGCTTTGACTTTCCTGTAAACGCCGGTTGTCACGACAACAGCAGAAGCCTCTGCGGGTGGAGGTGGGAGCTCGCACGCATGCGCAGAAGAAAGACACTTTAGGAAACTGACATTGATTAAACTTAAAGTCCTCTTTGTTTACCAATTAAATATCTGTATAATACAATAATATAAGAAACAATTGTTAGAGAATTGAAATCATTTCTGAATTGAATACGTTAAATAATCAAAAGCTTTAAAAAGTAAGATCAAATGGATGGATTTACAGTAATATTTTCATGGGTTGATTCGTGAAATATCAAAGGATGGTAGGGTAACTTTATCCAACCTCCTTTACAATAGCCTCTACTTGTCGATCTCACCTTTATTATTTTAATTCTTCTCAATTTACTAGATTAAGTTAGAATTTGTTCCTTCTTAAACATAACAGGTTTTGAGATTACAGTAGCAGTTTTGCTGACTTTTTACACATTACAAACTCACAGATAAAAATATTTTGGTTGGGGTAGACCCAATTTAAACGTGCAAATTGGGACTATTTGAAGATCCCTGGAAGAAAAAGGGAAGCACCCAAGACTGACAGCAGAATAGGATAATTATATATAAATATATGTGACAAATGAAAGTAGGTCATTGTTAGAGAGCATGGATCATTGTCAAGGGTAAGTGTCCCTCTATATAGGGTCAATGAAGCAGGAGCACCCTGTGAGTGTGTTTAAATGTCACCCAACACTTTTTCCTGTAACTGACACTGTGAAAGTTGGTCTCAGCCTTACCATGCTGCTCCATACATCAGTCAAATGTATCATTATAAGAGCTGTTTTAAGATCATATTATGTTTTAAATCTTGTAAAATGCCCTTCCTCAGATATGCATTTTTCAAGTTCAAAGAAAGCTATAAACATGCATTAGTGAAGTATTAAATATTGAAATTACCTGAATGTTGTTGTTTGGGAAAAATTTGATCTTTTCCTCGTGATAAATTGATAACAATTGTTGCGATGATCCTCATGCTCACAGTTAGTTAGTATAGGAATATTAAACTAGCAAAGCTAGGTCATATAAAACAGGTCAGTTTTCTCCTATATGTATAGTTAGTAGATTACAGTACAGAACTGTTTTACTGAATACAACATATTACTAAGGCACAACCTCAAGGATTGCTATATTTATACAATATGTAATCATTCTGCCATAAATAAAATCCATAAATTCAAACAAGAAATTAAGCAGTTTTTTAGTCGACGGATTGAAGTCCCACTGTACAATTTAACACATCTGCATTCCACTTTCTTTTTAGGAAAGTAATTATTAGGTATGTATATTAACTGACTGCTGTAGAGATGTTTGCCAGCTTACAATTCTTCACCTTATGCAAACATATTTTTAGTCCTTAGTGCCATGTACATTTTTGAATTTATGTATTTTAAGCTCCAACCACCGGAATGTGTTATGATAGTCAAGAAAACTCTCCTGGTGAATTTTATTCAAATCCCAACAACATTTACCCCTCCCTCATCAACCTTGAAGTTTAGCCTCACGTAGGGTGCTCCTTAAAATTGAAAGTTGGAAAGTCTAAGCTCCAACCCCCAGAATTCATTCTATTAGGCCCAATCCCAAAACACGCCCTACACCCTACACCCTACACCCTACACCCTACACCTACACACTCCTCCTCCGTTACGGAGTGAACTCCGTGGAGTGACACATGAGGCTCCCTCCTGTCAGATGGAGGGAGTAAATACAGCAGCAAGCTTTGGGACAAACTCCCCTCTCTCCGGCAGAAACAGGAAATGCTCTAACTGTATGTAACAACGGTTTCAAATCAGCATCTCTGACAAAACATTTAAATTAATAACTCAAATAAAACTCCAAACATCTTTAATTGTGTTTTTTTCTTTTTTGTAAAGCTCTTTTAGTTTTAAACCTGATAAGGTTTAAAACTAAAAGGTAGGTAAGCTTCTTAGTTTTTGTAACAGTCTGTAAATATACACAATTTTATAATAAAATGCACACATTTACCTTTTTCTAGACTAAACACAGGTATGATCCTAAGTTAAAAAAAGATGAGGTTATCATGAGGTTGTTAACATCGCAATTTATCAGCGGATGTTTGCAGGAACTACTTCCCTGACGGACACACAGCGTTGAGTCCGGTCAAGTAGAGACCGGTCTCCAGTCAACACAGATGCAGACTCGCTGTTTGAGGGCTTGATAGCCCACTCCCCCTCCACACTCGTTGGTTTGGAACAGCACTTAATGTGCGCGAACGGAGGGGTAGTGTGTAGGGGTAGGGGGCGGTTTGGGATTGGGCCAAGAAAACTCTCCTGGTGAATTTTTTCCTCAATCTGACAACATTTACCACTCCCTCATCGACCTGGACTGCCACACTGAGGTTAAACTTCAAGGTTGATGAGGGAGGGGTAAATGTTGTCAGATTGAGGAAATTCTGGGGGTTGGAGCTTAGACTTTCAATTTGAAGGACCACCCTAATGTAATATAATAACATGGTTGCTTTTTCTTATAAAATTAAGTGAGGTCAATTATCTAGTTTCATTATCTAAAATTAGGTTTAATTAGTTAATCAAAGGTAATCAAGTAATTTCTCTAAGTATTGTTTAATGCAATTTCCCGTAACGATTTCTTTTTTGCTGCATCCTAATCAACAAACACTACAAAATGAACTGTAAATATGATCAGGACTCAGATCATTTTTGAACCACCTCCTCCATTTATTAGTCAGTTGTTCAATTAAAGAAAAAAACGTAAATACTCTATGTTAAAAACACTCTTCAAAATTACATAACGTGTGACTGAAAAAGTCAGGACTCATTGCGTACATACAGTATATACATTAGCTTTGTGCTACTTACCATCTCAATTCTGTCTCTGAAAGTTCCTCAGAGGTCTTTCAACATGTAGCATAACCAGAACACAAAAAGGCAGATGACACATAATTACTTAAATGTTTATAGTAGGATTAGGGCAATTCCATTTGAATATGATTGATCTAATCAAATAACAACAAATAAAACAAATAATTTGCCCTCATGCCTAATATAAATGTGCACCAGGGTTGAAAAGAGTATTAAAACATAAGAATACGAATAAGTATAAGGCAAATTCCCTTCAGTTTTCCACACAGGAAGTTGAGTTGAGTGCACTGTGCTGAGTAATGTGAGATTTAGGGAGGCAGGGGGACGTTTTGGAGTTAGGGGAAACCTCTCAGGCGTTGCTCCTTTCCTCTATTGTTAACGTTTCCATGGGGGCTTTGCTCGGGGCTTTGCTCAGAGCCTTGATGTCATTCAGGAGACCGGTTGGGGTCAAAATGTGAGAAGACCCTGAAAACAAAGTAAAAATAACTGTAACGTCCCAATTTAAGTGTACACATTTTACAGTTCTTATTAGCTCCACTAAATGGTGTCAAACAGCTGGAAATAAAAACAGACAGTGGCCTCTAGCGTCCAAGTTAGTTGGTTTTTATACTGTAAACCCATCTATATATTTAGTTGAATGGAGACAACACAACAAAGGCATCATTTGGATATATTCAGCACTAAAAAAAAATGGTCCTTGCATAGTCAATGAACACAATCTGTCCTGAAAAGTAGTTCATTTGATCTATGTAATCTCGTTTGACTTCTCACCTATGATGACCTCGCAGGATTTGACCGTCTGGGTCACCTCGTAGGCACAGCGCATTTCAGAGTAGCTCATCCCTCCCACAACAAACACGATGAGGCGCGACCCGGTCCGGCGTTCATCCTGAGAGCTGGCTTTGTGCTTCTGACGGGCGCTGTGGGGCAGAGGGGGACAGTGAAATACTTTGACAAAACGTCCATGTGAAAGGTGGAACTAACAGCAAAATCAACCTTACGGCAAGGAAGACATATTTATATGAAGATTCCAGAAAACAACAGAGTCAACAGCAAAATTAGTCATTTTAGTAAACTTGGTGGCAGGAAAACTTCAAAATGAAAACCCCATATCAAGAGCAGAAGCGGCGTAGTCATACAAATCCTCACTAGAGGGCGCTAAATCATCCTCTCATTTGTGTGTAAAATCTAATTGTGACTTTCTGTGTCCCTTTTGAGAAGCTGCCAGCATTACAAAATAAACATATTCAAACGATGAAAAGGGTTTGCATGGCTTTTGATATTAAGTTGGTTAATTAGATCATTGCTCCAAAAAAATCAAGAGCAGGAGCATCTCCTCTAGCATTTATATGTATTTCAAGAAACAATTGACGCAGGTTAAGCATGATACAAAATAAAATATAAATAACAACTATACCTGACGGCCCCGGAGCCATTCCAGGCAGCAGGACTCTCAGACAGGTGCGGCCACTCTTTGGTGTCCAGTTTGTTCTCCACGGCATCCTGAAGGTAATAGGATTTTAATCAAGCAATTTAAAAGCAAAGACCAAAAACAAACCCTTTGGGGCCAGCCATAACATATATTTGAGTATCGCTTCTTGCATGTGCGTATACAAGGTATCCTAGTTGTTGGGGAATAATTTCCCCTGCATGTCATCTTTTGCCCTCTGACGCAGCTGACCAACCTTGAGCAGCCGCTATCTCCCAGGGGCTGCCCTAGCATTTTGTTGATGTTGCCAGTTTATGACCGGGCAACTCTCTGTCAGAGATAGTTATTGTTGTTGTGGGACACCTGGAACACATCCTTCCCGAGCCATAAGCGACAACAAATGTGATTCAGTTTCCTAAGCTAGCCCACACTAGTTTCATTCATATGCAGTTCATCTAGAACCCCTAAGCAATATTAAGGCATTCATAGAAGACTACAATCAGTTTTTGACTTTAACTACTCAGTTGTCACCCTACTAATTTTTAAGAAGGTTAGAATCATATTGATTAGTTTAGTTTTCCCTGACCAACAAGCGACCACTTTTTCTCAGGTTTCACAAAGGGGCTTTGGTTTCAGGTGGTAGTGCTACCTTCTGTTCACATTTGGAATCCAACGTGTGTTTTTTAGAATTATGTGAAAACGTATAGTCTGTGAGACAGCTTTCAACGATTTCTGACACCTCTGTGACCACCAACTAGGTATCATCATCAACAACATGTTTGTTTTGTGCTGTGAGGGGAAACTGTACAGGAAACCAGGTGCTCTTGTGGTGAGATTGCTCAGAAATGGCTTTTCACATAATAGCAGGAAGGAAAAGGAAGTCAAAATGAGGAGAAGACATAAAAGAACAGAATGTGTTACAGGTGAGACAGAGTTATTGCTATTCTTTATCAAATAAAACAGTTTAACCATAAAATTATAGATTCAAAGCCTATCTGCAAACAATGGAACAATGAGCTCTCCCAACTGGTTAACCACGTATATTGCTCATAAATTGACAATCTCAACTTTCTTTTAGAGTTTAAGTTTCCTTTATCAGGCTTTACTCAATATCAACATGTGGAAATCAGTTCTGTGAAATTACAGAACTGAAATGTTGTTATTAGATTTCTGAATAACAACCTTGTATCATGAGCAAAGGGGAAACAGGAAACGGTGCCTCAGTTCCCCATCTAGTTTTCAGAATTCGACTCAATAGCAGAGATTACAAGAGACACATTCAAAAAAGGTGAACTCCTGTGAGCATGAATCTTAAAGAAGGCAGACAGCTGACAGTAACATCAAACCTCAGTTTAAAGATGGGGTAGGTAAGTTTGAGAAACCGGCTCGAGATACACTTTTTGTTATCTTCCAGGGAATGCTCTGAACACATCCCGATAGCAATGAATATCTTAAGTGCTTTGACAAAAAATCCATGAAAAAAATGTCATCTTTGGAAGCCGTAGTACTGTAAAAAGCACAAACAACAATCGGCAACAAAATGTAGTAGAGTAAAACTATAGTGTAGCAAAATGAGAAATGGCCGTCTTACTGCCTGTCAGCCTCTCCTATCTGGCTATCTTATTGATCTTCTTATCTCGTGCCCTCATTGGTCATGCTGTGGTGTTGGAGGAGGGGCGCTCTGATAAGGAAGTGGCCGATTTTTTCCCATTGGTCATGTGTGTGTTGGAGGAGGGGCTCTGTAAGGAAGTGGCAGATTTTTTCCAGCTGTGTATTTTCAAATTCTAGCGCACTCTAGCTGGCTTCTCCAAAATGACCTACCCCACCTTTAACACAAAACATTTTCCATTATGGGAAAGAGGATTGGTACAGACTGAGGGATGTTGCTGGAAAAGGATAATCCCCGGGGATCAACTCAGAAATTGTGCATTATTAGGCAAGGCAATTCAAAGTGCTTTATTAGATGCTGGTAATGATGTATTTTAGAAATCGATGTGGCCATAAAGAAAAACACAATCGATCATGTTTGTGTTGCAATTCCTACCGGATTACCCGATACTGATAACTCTCTTGCTTTCACGCGTCTTTTCATCATTTATTTTTTAGAAAATTCCTTTCAGTGGGGGTGGGGACTGGGGAAGCACTTGGATCGACCGAGATGTAGAAATGTGTAAGACGTAACTTACGGTAACACCGGGAGTTTTTCTTTCCTATAATTGCTTCCTACATCTCCTGGATTTATGCTGCGTAGTTCATCATGGCATAATAATGGTATTGTAACGTGTCAATATAATCTCACTGACCTCCATCACATCTTTTATGACAGGAGTCCATCTGGAAAGCTTGTAAGTGTCCTCCTGGGAACGATCGCGTCTGGTTGGTTTACGGGAGAAGAAACTAGGCTAGAAAGAAAAAAGGTACAAGAAGAGAGTAAGCAGGATTCAAGAAGATGTCACAAACTAAAGAAACTCAGAGTGAAAAACCAGCATTATGTATCATAGCGGAAGGTTTTAAAGAACTCATTTACAATCAACTGCCATGAAAAGCAGTTTTGTTTTCCTCCTCTGTACATACCGAGGTGATGATGGGGACTCCCAGTGCTTTCCAGTTCAAGATGAACTCTTGTTGGTCCTCGATCTTTACATGCTGGATGAGTTTGTTTAAGTTCTCGGTCGTTGTTCCTGTTTACACACACACCAAGTAAATACAAATAAAATAACTGATTATAGGTTATAAGGGCTGCATCCTGTTGGTCAAATAATCAACGAAGGAAGTTTTGATACACAAGGAAAGGCTTTAAGTTTTAATGGTTTCATTATTCCTTTTTTTACTTTTTATTAAATCATTGAATGCATATAAACGTAGGATTAGTACTCAACTGAGAATGTGCTTTGGGGATAACAGCCTAACAGATTCTTAGTGTCTGCTCTTGTTAACTCTGAAGCATGGAGCATTCATGGAGCTGTGACAACGTGTCTTACCGCTGAGGCTGAAGATGTAGAGCAGCACAGCTCTGATCTTGTCGGGGGGGTTGTATGGGTGGAGCAGCACAGGTAGCAGGGTCCTCATGGCGTCTTTCACCTTCACCCCCTCCACGTCTGACCCCACTGCAAGGTCCTACACAGAGACAAACCTTTACCTTTTGATGTCCCATTCAGGCTGGAGAGTGAGAAGTACTATAACACACATTCACAAACTCTTTCCTTAGGAGGCCCAGTCTCTTTGACCCACGCATTACCAGATGGGTTTTAAATTCATTTGAACAGAGCTGCAAAACTAACCTAAACTTGCCACAAAATAACTGATAAGGAGAATTAAGTTCATTCAAATGACTAAGCCTTAAATTGCATTCACTTTTATGTTTTATCCCAACATAAACCTGTTTTTCTCAATGGATTATACCAGAAGAAAATGTGTGTCACCAAAAATGCAATTTAATCCAGAAGATCACGGGGCAAACGGACCTGTTCAGCTTTGCAGAGCTTCTCCACGTTTTTTGAGTAATGTTCCATGCAGTCCTCGGCCAAATGCAGATGAGCCTTTTTCTAAAGTTGAGAAAAATGTGAACATTTCAATGTAAGTATTGTTACTGGAGATGATGAACTTCCTTTTATGGAAAACAAAGATATTTATAGAAGCCAGAAATAATTGGCCTATATGTCAACCTCACATGATAATTGATATTGGTACCACATACCTCAGTCATTTGTTTACGGAAGGCTGGCATCTTCTTCATCATCTGGGACAAATTGGCAATTGTGATCTAAAAAAACAGAGGATGCAATGTTTGCTCAAGATATGCGTTTTAAGTATGAACTACACCGCTCAATAAATCAGGAGAAATCTCAGGTCTGTACCTTTCCATCTGGCTTCTTCTTGCTAGCAGCTATTTCCTTTACCAGCTTTGGGATTTGTCTATTGGGAGATACAATGAGGTTAGGGTCTGGTTAAAGAAGTGTTAGGGAGACACCTTCATCCTTCAGATCTAGCACACTTACTCTGCTACTTCAGCGATGTGCTTGTGCCTCAGCTTAATCCAGAGCTGGTCGTCCTCACTCAGCTGGGCCTCCTTCTCTGGGCCATCTTCAGCTTTGTATCTAGCAACACAAATATAAAAATAAGGTTTATAGCTAAAAATGTATTGCCTATATTTGATCTAATACAACATCTAGTGGATGTATGCCTTCGCTAACCAGATAGATGCAGTTTACATCAATCCGTCCAAAATATCATCACTTCATCATGTATTCTATAAGACATTTGGGTTACATTTTTGTTATTAGCATATGGAGTCTTACATTTCGCTAACTGGTGAGGTTGCTGTGACCTTTGACAACCAAATCAGTTCAGCCTTGAATCCAAGTGGATGTTTGTGCTCATGCGATATTGCGCTCACAACAATAGGCAATGCAGACAAACAACCAAAAAACGAAACCCTCCTGGCTTATGACTTGCCGACATGGTGCACTAAGCATATTACATAGGTGCGATTAATTACTTGTAGGTGTCTTCCTGGATATCAATGAGGTCGTAAGCCATGGCCTGGTAGGTCAGCTCATGCAGGATGGGGCTGACGGGGTCAAAACCTCTCTCCACTATCAGCAGCTGGGCCTGGGTCTTTCCCTTTTGAAGGAGGGAAATACACAGAAACAGTTTTAAAATAATAATGCATTTTTTGTATAATTAAAACACTGGTTGCTGTCTCTCGTTGGGCCCTTTCTCTCTCTCTCTCTCTTTCTTTCTTTTACAGTGGGGCAAAAAAGTATTTAGTCAGCCACCAATTGTGCAAGTTCTCCCACTTAAAAAGGAGAGGCCTATAATTTTCATCCTAGGTATACCTCAACTATGAGAGACAAAATGAAAAAAAAAAATATCCAGAAAATCACATTGTCTGATTTTTAAAGAATTTATTTGCAAATGATGGTGGAAAATAAGTATTTGGTCAATAACAAAAGTTCATCTCAATACTTTGTTATATACCCTTTGTTGGCAATGACAGAGGTCAAACGTTTTCTGTAAGTGTTCACAAGGTTTTCACACACAGTTGCTGGTATTTTGGCCCATTCCTCCATGCAGATCTCCTCTAGAGCAGTGATGTTTTGAGGCTGTCGCTGGGCAACACAGACTTTCAACTCCCTCCAAAGATTTTCTATGGGGTTGAGATCTGGAGACTGGCTAGGCCACTCCAGGACCTTGAAATGCTTCTTACGAAGCCACTCCTTTGTTGCCCGGGCGGTGTGTTTGGGATCATTGTCATGCTGAAAGACCCAGCCACGTTTCATCTTCAATGCCCTTGCTGATGGAAGGAGGTTGCCACTCAAAATCTCACGATACATGGCCCCATTCATTCTTTCCTTTACACGGATCAGTCGTCCTGGTCCCTTTGCAGAAAAACAGCCCCAAAGCATGATGTTTCCACCCCCATGTTTCACAGTAGGTATGGTGTTCTTTGGATGCAACTCAGCATTCTTTCTCCTCCAAACACGTCTAGTTGAGTTTTTACCAAAAAGTCTTATTTTGGTTTCATCTGACCATATGACATTCTCCCAATCCTCTTCTGGATCATCTAAATGCTCTCTAGCAAACTTCAGACGGGCCTGGACATGTACTGGCTTAAGCAGGGGGACACGTCTGGCACTGCAGGATTTGAGTCCCTGGCGGCGTAGTGTGTTACTGATGGTAGCCTTTGTTACTTTGGTCCCAGCTCTCTGCAGGTCATTGACTAGGTCCCCCCGTGTGGTTCTGGGATTTTTGCTCACCGTTCTTGTGATCATTTTGACCCCACGGGGTGAGATCTTGCGTGGAGCCCCAGATCGAGGGAGATTATCAGTGGTCTTGTCTGTCTTCCATTTTCTAATAATTGCTCCCACAGTTGATTTCTTCACCCCAAGCTGCTTACCTATTGCAGATTCAGTCTTCCCAGCTTGGTGCAGGTCTATAATTTTGTTTCTGGTGTCCTTTGACAGCTCTTTGGTCTTGGCCATAGTGGAGTTTGGAGTGTGACTGTTTGAGGTTGTGGACAGGTGTCTTTTATACTGATAACGAGTTCAAACAGGTGCCATTAATACAGTTAAAAAGTGGAGGACAGAGGAGGCTCTTAAAGAAGAAGTTAAAGGTCTGTGAGAGGCAGAAATCTTGTTTGTTTGTAGGTGACCAAATACTTATTTTCCACCATAATTTGCAAATAAATTCTTTAAAAATCAGACAGTGATTTTCTTGATTTTTTCTTCTAATTTTGCCTCTCATAGTCTCGACGGTCAACAAGGATGAAACATGTTACTAGGCCTCTCTACATCTTGTTAA